ATCTTCACATTTTCTCCCACTCCATCATAAATTAAATCATGTTCCTCATCGCGCTCATCCTCAACTATCATGTTGTGCATAATGACACAAGCTCGCATGATTTTTCCGAGGCTGTCTTCATCCCAAAATCGAGCCGGTCCCTTGACGATTGCGAAACGAGCCTGTAGAACCCCAAACGCTCGTTCAACGTCCTTCCTACAAGCTTCTTGGGCAGTTGCAAAATATTTCTTCTTATTACCTTGTGGTTCAGGTATGGTCTTAACAAATGTAGCCCAAGAGGGATATATGCCATCGGCGAGATAATAACCCATTGTATATTCGTTGTTATTAATAGTATAATTCACCTTTGGAGCTTGACCTTCAGCTAGTTGTGCAAATAAAGAAAACCGGTGCAAAACGTTGATGTCGTTGTGGTAACCAGGCATCCCAAAGAAAGCATGCCAAATCCAAAGATCTTTAGAGGCCACAGCTTCAAGTATAATTGTAGGCTCATGCACATGCCCGGTGTACATACCTTGCCATGCTGAAGGACAATTTTTTCACCTCCAATGCATGCAATCAATCGAGCCAAGCATACCAGGAAAACCTCTACTCTCTCCAATTGCTAGTAACCTAGCAGTATCATCTTCATTAGGTGATCTCAAGTACTCATCTCCAAAAACCTCCACAACAGAACTGACAAACCTTCTCAGACTCTCAATAGCAGTACTCTTGCCAATACGTACATAATCATCTGTAGCATCAGCTGCTATTCCATGACTAGACAGCCCAAGTATACCGGCAGTGATCTTTTGCAGACTAGACAGCCCAAGTATACCGGCAGCATTTCTTTTCTGTACGAAATATTGATCATGTTGTTCCACGGCATTCCATATGCGTACAAACAGTGTACGCCTCATTCGAAACCTGTAATTCAAAAGTAATGAGACATATATATTTGGATTTATAAAAAAAAAAAAGTCCAATTAAATCTATTGTTAAGCAATATAAGGTAATCGATCCTAATACAGACCGACTTTAATTGTTTTATGATTCGAGTAACTGTTGGTTAGGCTTCAGGCCCGTGATAAGATGTAATGTCCTTGTTTTTTTCAACTATTATGCAGGTGGAGATCGACTCCCTCTATCAAAAGCTAACCAAAGCAAGGTCATAGTTTTTTACAGAAACATGCAGCAGAAGCAATACGTCTTGCAAGGAAAATATATTTATTAATTTGTTGTCTCTATAAAAGGTGGAAAACTATGTACAACAATGTCCATTTTGCGACTGGATTTATGTATAATGTGGCAGTTCAATGCATGGTACAATTTTTACTGTTTGGCAACCAAAAAAAAAAAAATGCAAATGATAAGAATGTAGAGGCTAGGTTGTACTAATTACATACCTTCGTCTAAAATAACTATGTCCGTACGTAGGATCATCTGAAAAATAATCTTGGTACAACCTATGATGTCCTGCGTGTCTGTCTCGCTCAAGTACTCGATGCCCTATGATAGAACCACGATGTTTTGTTTCATCATCAGACTCATCGGCATTCATGGCCACATGAGTAACAGAGAGGAGGAAATCACCATCGTCATCATCCGACGACGAATTCATCACCAGCTGCATGGAAAGGCTTCGTCGACTCATACCGAATTTGGAGATCGCAGCGAAGACGTCTGGGGAGAGCTCCTAGCGGCGGCGCTGAATATGCTGTGGGGAAGTTCTGTGCGTGGCAATGGGCCCAGTTACAATGACGTGGCCTGTTTTAAAATATTAGGGACTAGTTATTAGCAATCTGCTGTGGGTTGATAAGTTTTTAGGGAAGTTTTCTTTAGGGAGAGCCCCCAATACATTGTTTTGGGGAAGCAATTTTTGGGAAACTCTTAGAGTTGCTCTAATGGCGTTTAAAGTTTTTGCACAAATATTAAGGCAGAAATTCTATGGTGCCCATATGGGCACCATATGGTGCCATAATCTCACAATCCAACGCCTAATATTCATTCTATCAATTCCACAATAGATATTAAGCGTTGGATTGTGAGATTATGGCATCATATGGTGCCCATATGGGCACCATAGAATTTCTGAATATTAAGGAGACATTAATTATCAAGTAAATTGACTAAACTAACCTTATTTATTGAAAATCACTATATATTTATTGTTATGGTTGCAGCTATAAATCAGGGTATATTTGGTAGAAAATTGAATAATTTGCCTTGGTTTTGATGTGCGTCTTATATTTCAAAAAATTTGAGAATTCCTTATATGCCTTATATTTCAAAAATGGAGGGAGTAGTATTTAATTAGGTACATATGCATAAATACAAATTCAATATTATAAGATTCTTATATATGTATAGATATTATATCTAAAATTATAAATAAAAAATTGAAATATGAAATTTTATAAATTTAATCATTAATAAAAATAAAAAATATACTTACAACCAACTAGGGAAGGGTTGTCCACTTATACATATAAAAACCACTTTATAAATAGTTTTGCCGTCCTTGTGGTTCTACCCGGCTCGATTCCGGATTAGTTAGTTCCCCTGTGAATCCAGAAACCGGAAGGTCCCTGTACAAAAAAAAAAAAAAAACACTTTATAAATTTTATAAAATGCAATAAATAGTGTAACTTTTAAAAAATTCAAGATATCATGGCAAGTAAATGAGTTTGAAAAATATTAAAATTATTATCATTGCTATTATTATAGGAATTGTAAACGCAATTTTAAGTGTTTGTTGTGACGTTAAAATCAATTAGCTATTAAAAAAAATTGCTTAATGGAATAAAAATATAAAATAGTATTATTTTTATAATAAATAACTTGAAGATTTTTTTTTCTATATTACTTTTTTAGATTCTTTTTTTACTTCCAAAAACCTTTTAGTGTGAATTTATAATCATTAATATCATTAGTAATTATTATATGATTTATTACTTAAAAGATATTATTACACTTAATTATTGCAAAATATAAAGATTTTTTTTTTATAAATAAATAAAAATAAACGGGAAAATTTGAGAGGCATTAATTCAATATCCTACAATTATATGTATAGATAGACAAATTATTCATCGGTACATAAACTCAAAGACGAAATCAAAATTTGTGTACTTCGTAAAATCAAATTTGTAGATTTTATTATTCTAATTAGCTATTACTAGTACAACTTCTGTGTATTATACTAGTGCTTGCTAACTTTTTTCTTAAAATCTAAATTAATGAGAAAAAATAGTTAAAAATTCAAATAATTTTTATAATATATATATATATATATATATATATATATGTATATATATTATATTTAGTATGACACTTTTATTTGTGCGACTTTATATTATGATAATTTTTTTGACTTACAACATATAACTACATTAAACATAAATATATCAATTGAGAAATACTTTTATTTTTCTAATGAATTTTAATAAATATAATTATTTTATTATTATAAATATAAATATAATTTATTTATTTGAATATATACAATATGGATGTCAAATCCAAAATCATCAAAAGATTTTAATTTGATATATTTTATATGTAAAACTGGTAAGAAATACAAAAGTTATCAACTTTTAAAAAACATTTACAATTCAATAGCTAATTGAAGGAAACAAATCAAAAGTCATGGATATATTATTCATTTAGTGTCTCACTATGTAAAATACTAAAATTACAATGAATTAAAGGGTTATATTAGTACAAGTGATATTAAAAAACTTAAGTTAGCTAAATAATATTTATGAAATGTCCGAACATAGATTATTAATTATTAATATAATCAATGTTATTTGTCCAAACCTAATAACGAAGCATGATTCTTCGCCAAATATGATTCTGAAGCACCAAAAGCAGCCACGTAGGCTCCGTGTATTCGAGAATTATATATAGGGAGGATTTTTTAACTTACAACATATAATTATATTAAACATAAATATTCTGATAAATAATTTTATTTTTTAATAAATTTTAATAAATATTATTATTTCTTATTATTATAAAGATAAATATAATTTATTTATTTTATATATACAATATGGATGTCAAATCGAAGATCATGACAAAATTATTAATTTGATATACTATATATGTAAAACAGATAAGAAATACAAATGTTATCAACTTTTAAAATAGATTTATAATTCAATAGCTAATTGAATGAAACAAATAAAAAGTTATGGATATATTAGTCACTTAGTGTCTCACTATGTAAATTTAAAGAATTAAAGGTTATATTAGTAGAAGTGATATTAAAATACCTAAGTTAGCTAAATAATATTTATAAAATGTCTAAACCTAGAATATTAATTATTAATTGATGAGTAAAAAAATATGTATTTCTATTATGGTAAAATTTGGACTATGTGTTGGGTATTTGTGTTTAAGTGACGTGTT